AAAGTTAATCCAAATATTTTTTAAAAACATTTTCCCATGTTGATAAGTCAATAATTCTTTTTGAATAAAACTTATTTTTAACTTTGAAATAAAATCTCAAACACCCTCTAAAAAAATCCAATATATTTCTAGAAATATGATTGTTTAAAAGTAATTAGAAAATTAATATCGAACCGAATTTTTTAATGAATATGCTGTAAAAGAAAATTTAATTAGTCTTTTATATTTCTTACGGTGTCAAGGGTTTGGGAATTTTTGCTCCAGAAAAATTAGTGGATTCTATTTTGGTGTTAATCTAGAGAAGAAGATGAACTGATCGCATTTTACAATTTCTGCACTTGGAGATAGTAAAAAAGTGCGAACTTGGAGATAGTAGAGCAAAGAAGTGCGAGCGAATCACAAATCTGATGCAACTTCATTGATCTCTCTGTTTGTATTACTACATTCCATCACAACCAAAACCCCCGATCTCCATCACCGACAGAGTGACCCAGATCGACGGAGCTAAGGAAGCACCACCATGACGAGGCCACTGAAACCCTCATCAAGAAGACCTGCATTCGTTCATCTCATCTGCGCTGCAATCGTTTTCTCTCTCATTGTTTTCGCCATTCAATCCTTTTTCTTCACTGGTGACTTACTTTCCTTCGCTATAAGTTTTCTAGGACCCTAATCCAACCGACTAGCAATTTTGATTAATTTTACCCTCCTTCTGGCAGGTACCCGAACCAAAACTCTGAACGCAGAAGACGTCCAGATCTTATCTGGTTTTCAGGCCGACGTTCAGCAATGTGTGGTTAGCTTCGTTCTCCCTTTCATCTCTCACACGAAACCATATTAATTGGCACAGTTGGTAGTTAATTAGTTATGTTGCTCTACTTGTTTTGTGTCTTTCAAAGTTTGATTCCATGTTTGCTAGTTTAGAAGAGGTGGTATTGTCATCTGCAATGACGGATATCACTGCAAGCTATTCGTTAAATTCATCATTCAGTTCATCTCGCAGTCAATTTCAACCAAAAAAAAAAAGCAACTTTTGGCTGATCACATGCTTGTTCCCAAGCATTTGAGGTTTTAGTCTTGTTAATCCTTGAACAAATTTTCTGAATCTAAATGGTTGCTCATCCATATACAGTGTCATGGATTTACCATTGTTTATTTGTTGAGTTATATTATGCTAATTCGTAGTGCCATCTCTTACCAGTTTGAATCACATGTAGGCAAACAGAGGATTTGGACTTACTGCACAAATCATTGACCACTGCAAATTGGTTCTTAAGTTTCCTGAAGGGACTAATAGTACCTGGGTATGTCTCTCTCTCCCTCTGTTATCTATCTTTCTATCTTATGTAATTATCAATCAATCAAGCTCTCTCACCAATCTGGTATTGAATTGCAGTTGAACCCACAGTTTAAGACATATGAGCCATTAGAGTACAAATATGATGTTTGTGAGGCAATTCTCCTGTGGGAACAGGTTGGTGATTATCCTTATTCCTTCTGTGTCTTTCTTTCCAATGCATATGTAGTAATCCTTTTTCTTTTTTCTGAATTGCAGTATCGTAACATGACCACAGTTTTGACAAGAGAATATTTAGATGCAAGGCCAGATGGATGGATGGACTATGCAGCCAAAAGAATAGCACAGTTGTATGTTTTTCTCTCTTAATATTGATAAACCAAGACTTAAAAGATCTTTTTTCTTTTGTGTTATTACACAATACTGTCATTCTTGAATGGTTATTTACACTTTGTTTAGTGATTCTTTATTTTCTCCAATTGTTTATTAGAGGTGCAAAAGATTGCAGCAATCGCACGCTTTGTGAGGAACTTCTTAATCCAATGTTGCCAGCCAAACCACCATTTCACCCTAGACAGTTTGAGAAATGTGCTGTTGTTGGAAACTCAGGTGATCTTTTGAAGACTGAATTTGGTGAAGAAATCGATAGTCATGATGCAGTTATAAGAGACAATGAGGCACCTGTGAATGAGGTAAATCAGTCACCTCAAATTCTAGCCATATTTAGTTGATGTAAGTTATTCCTCTTTTTAACCTTCTTTTTTAAGCAGAAATATGCAAAACATGTTGGTCTAAAGAGGGATTTTCGACTAGGAGTTAGGGGTACTGCACGTAATATGGTCTCCATCCTCAATGGATCAGGTCAATACATATTATTTTCAAGATTTTAACATCTTAAAATCTATTTACATACCACTCAAATTTTTTCTATCTTTTTTTTTTTCCTGCAGATGATGAGGTGCTTGTCATCAAAAGTGTAACTCACAGAGACTTCAACAAAATGATTGATGTAAGTAGTATCCAATACAAACTTGTTTTTTTTAATATATTTATAATCCTAATTCCTAACACATTCTTTCCTTCATCTTTTTTCAGATGATTCCAAATCCGGTTTATCTGTTTCAAGGTATTGTTTTACGAAGAGGTGCGAAAGGAACTGGGATGAAATCAGTTGAGCTGGCACTTTCTATGTGTGATATTGTTGACATATATGGTTTCACTGTCGATCCTGGCTATACAGAATGGTCAGTGTCAAATACCTATTTTACCCCCACCCCACTTGAGATTATATCTTGTTCTCACTTCTGATTCTTTAATAGGACCAGATACTTCTCTGAGCCAAGAAAAGGTCACAATCCATTACAAGGAAGGGCGTATTACCAACTCCTTGAATGTCTTGGTGTAAGCGATTAAAGATTTTCTTGTTTTGATAAGTTTCAAACTCGCATGACCAAACTACCCTTGTATGTTTCATATCTTAGGTGATTAGGATACATTCTCCTATGAGGGCAAAAAGGGAACAAGACTGGTCGGATGTGCCAAGTCGCGAGAAGATAGGGAGAGCTCATGCAGCTGCCACGCGGTTAAAGAGGAGTGAAGAGAGTGAGTTTGGTGAAGAGGGGCAGTTTGGGAACTGTAAAGTGTGGGGGAATGCGGGTGCATATGGGAGTGGGCCCGTATCAGGGTCTAGAGATATGAGCAGCAAAAGGAGGAATTCGAATTATAGTAAATGGGAGGTGATGCCTTTTAAGAGTTTGAGACGAGAAGCACAGGAACATTACATGCAGATGGAAGGGGTTTCATTGTATAAGATGGATGGTAACAAATTGGATGATTTAGTTTGTGTGAGGCATCCTTTAGAATCTGAATCTTAGGTGAAGGAAAACTTTGTTTGTGTTGTAATTTTTTAATTTGTATTGGTTTGTGTTATACCACTTGTGTGCATTGCAAGGTCCAAAGGGAATAGAGTAATATCTCAGATAATCAACAAGGATTTTGGTAATGCTGACGTGGAGGGCTGAATGTGTGGTCGTCATTTTCAGGCACAATGTCTAGATATAAACAAAGATAAATTGGGAAGTGTAATATGTTGTTTTATACCAAATTCTGTTCATCCATGTTTTCACATAGTTTGGTTTGGGTTGTTAGATATTTATGTGGACGTTTTATTATGTACACATGATCGAGCAATGTGGTTCAGTTTTGTTTCATGAAATTTGAAGATCCACTTCCTTTGTTTGCTTTGGTATTGTAAGTGTAATAATCCAAAATTTATACAAAAATGTGCCTGGAAATACTTCATTTGTTTTCCAAGTGCACAAAAGATATATTATTGTTAATTACATGGCGTGAGTAAACTACAATAAGGAGAGTTACTATTTAGTATTTACATTACAAAATAGATCCCATCAAATTTCTTAGTACACATGATGATCATAGATGTTTTCTATGTATTTCTCATTAAGGCATTATACTTTGACAATGTCCATCATCTCATAATGGCTTTAGTTTCAATTCAACTATCTCATTAGGGATGGAACCCGAGATTCCCCAACACCGAATTTGGTGGAAAGTCGATCCCGAGTACCGAACCGATTAAAAGGGGCAAAACGGTCAACTTGACTTTTAAGGGGCAAATACGCATCAGTCTTCTTGCCTTGTTTTTACATTGAAATTCAACACAAATGTAACTAACATTGTTTAAATTATGCTACTGTATCACTTTCAAATGATTAGGAATACTTATACCTTCATCATGTTGTATTTTATGTTCTTTCGGTCATGGCCATCGACCCTTGTTTGACTATTCCCAAGTGTATAAATAAGAAGGTATCTTTCTCATCTTACCTTGAGGAACATTAAACAAAGCAAAATTTTATCTTATGAGTTTCTTCTTTGTATGTGCAGGAACAAGCTAAGACAAGTTCTGTGACAGCTGGAAATCATAAAGTTGAGAAGGTAATCAACCACTTTTAGTTATCTTTATGGTGCTCATCAATGATGATGTCACTGTCTTTGTAATCCAATGCAGGATATTGACATACACAAACACTTCTGGTTGCCATACGTATAACTAACGTATTAAGACCATCAAGTCCAAAGATTTATCTCCTTCATGGGTCTGGAAAAAACCCATTGATGATATTCAAGTCAAAGAGTTGTCAAAGGTAAATACACTAAAAGATCAGCCTAATACAAGAATCGAGGACAACAGGGTTTTTTTTTGTAGATATTAAACAAACAACCACATAAACCATCATTTCCATTGTTAAACTCATGCTTGACCCAATAATAAGGGCGAAAGGATATGCAAGTATTGCAAAAGCAAAAAATGCAACCAGAATCTATGACTCCCTAATTAAACATTTTACCTGGTGCGTTTGAGAAAATATGTCTATTAACATCTTCTCTTACAAAAATATACTCTCTACATATCTATGCAATGAACAGCGAATGCAAACAAATCTAACCTGTCTCCAAAAGAATTATAAGATGGCGCTCAAATGAATCAAAGATTTGTAATCTGAATTCTGGAAAATTAGTCAACTGAAACTCAAATCATCCTTTAATCTTCTACTCAATAACTTATCATCGTAACAAAACTGAACCCAAAAAAACATCAGAAAGAGAGATCTTACACAGGACATGAAAGCACAACAAGCAAACCATGTCTTTGAATTGAAAGCCAACAAACAAAATCCTATCATTTCTTAGGAGCAGTGTCAGGAACAACTTTGAGTAGCTTCCTCTTCTTAGACTTGGCAAGCTTCTTTAGCGTCTTCGGATTGGTGATCTTCTGAAGCTTCGTACCAGATTTTAGTATGTTTTCTTCCTTCCTCTTTTCCCTCTCCTTCTTCTTCTCCCTCTTCTCCACCTTGTTCTTCCTTATCTCCTCCTTCAACTCTGTTATTCTCTCCTTATAAGCCTTCTTAATTTCCTTCTGCTGCGCCCTATCCTCGAACGTCGATTTCTTTAGGCTCACCCTAACCGCCGATGATCTCTGTGTTTTCGGTTGCTTCCACTTCCTTCCGGATACTTTACCCGCTATCACCCCGTCGTATGTCGGCTTCCCGAAGATCGGCTTGTTAGGGTTTTCCGAAGAAGAAACGGCTTGTCGCTTTGAAGTTTGGATTTCTTCGGCGGCGTCGATGTCCATAGAGGCATCCTTCTCCTGCTGCTGTTCAGATCTCTTCCTCTTGTAGGTTTTGCCGCCGAACCCTTCATCCAGGCATCTGAAATCAATGGTGCACGCCATTGATATTTGATGGGAAAAAAGAAGATTAGGTATGCCTATTGACGCCCCTTTGTAAAACCCTAAAAATCTAAGAGAAAGAATGGAGGGTTTTTATACGCATGCATCTTCCACCAGTCCACCGTGGCGACAAAAATGGCCCTAGGGATGTAAGTGAGCCGACCTATTCGGGATCGACTCGTTAAAAGCTCGACTTGAGTTAAACGATCCCGAGCCGAGCTCAAGCCTAAATATGAAGCTCGTTTATTAAACGAGCTCGAGCCGAGCTTCAGTTAATGGGCTCGCGAGCCTAAATGAGCCTATATATATATATATATATATATATATTATATATATATATATATATTATATTATATATTATGCTCGTTTAGGCTCGCGGGCTCACTAAATTGTTCACGAGCCGAGCTCGAGCTTCATTTTAAGGCTCGAATCGAGCTCGAGCTCAAAATTAAACGAGCCGAGCTCGAGCTTGGTTAAGCTCGGGCTCGGCTCGACTCGTTTACACCCCTACCTAGGAAAGAAGGTTATAACTTAAAATTTAAAATAGACAGTACATTTTTCTATATTTCTATTATCTTTTAAAGTTTAAACAATAAAAAAAATGCTAAAGTTATAGTGTTGATAAAATAACAAAATTCACCATTAAGCTCAAAATATATTTTTGTATTTAACTGAATAACTTTATAGAAATAATTATGATTTATAGGTAGGTCGACTTAAGGAGTCATAATAAGTAGATATGACATAGACAAGATGTTTAATAATTAAAAAAATGATTTTTTCATTGATTAAGGCTACTGGGAGCGGGAGGTGCTAAGCCTAGTCACCACGCTCACTAAGCATGCGCTACACTGTTTCTGGTTCTCACCGAGGGGTGGCCAAAGAGAAGTCAACAAGCCTTTGACAAGTGGAGAGAGAAAATGGGATAAATGTTTGGGTTTGACTCACTTTAATGTTATACTTAATTTTTTTTTTTTAAAGAAAATGTCCATGTTTTTATAAAAATATAATCGTTTTAAAAAAATAATGATTATTATTTCTTATCAATCACTATAAATAAACATATAAACCTCCACATTTCAACACACATAAATCTCAATACATCTCTCAAAACCTGTATCATTTTATAAAAAAATGTCATCATCATCTTCCTCGGATGATGCTCTTGGGATCATATTACAAGCAGTTGTCAGCGTACCTAATATGCTAGAACAAACAATTACCGGCTAGGAAGCGAGTATTGCGCAACGTAAACCAAGAAGATATATCCAAAGAGAACGTGAAGCATCCTACCAACGTCTCATGTATGATTATTTTGATGAGCATGGTCTCTTTCAAGGAATATTATTTCCTGCGACGATTACGAATGCATAAAGATTTGTTTCTGTGTATTGTCGAAGGCGTGATGGGAGTGCGTGATTATACCCGGCAACACCTAGACACAAGAGGTACATTAGACTTTGATCAAATTCAAAAATATACAACTGTATTTCTTATGTTAGCATATGACACCCACCCCGACTCAATAAGCGAGAGTTTTAAGATGTTTGCAGGTACCGCACAAGCAGTGGCGTAGCCATGATTTTATTTTAATGTAGACCAAATAATTTTTCAAAATATGAACGAGTAGCAAAATATTTCAAATGATAACAAAATATAACAATGTATGCATTCTAAAGTAAATTCTAAAGTAAAATGTTTATTTAAGTTGCACATGACGCTCTTTTACATATTAAAATCATCTAAAATTGAGTCTATACCGAAAAGCTTAGCATTATCTCTTATTGCTCAACAAAATTCACTAATCACAAAAAATTTCAATTAAAAACATACTCTTATATACTTATACAAGACAAACTTATATGTAATACAATAATACAAATAATTAATTCATAGCAACAAGTAATAACCTAATTTATTATAAACCTATAATAAAAGTAAAAAATCAATGAAAACCTAAATCAGTAAGAAGTAAGCAAACTAAAAATTGTCTATGATGAAAATAAAAACAAGTAATTGAGTAATTAAGATAATAGAAAAAAAGAGTAAATTACACGAATGATCCCTATGGTTTGGGGTAATTTGCACGTTTGGTCACTAACTTATTTTTTTAACTCGAAAGATCTCTACAGTTTGTTTTTGTTGCGCGCTTGGTCCCTGTCTTACCTAAAAAGACTATTTTGCCCTTGATTTTTTAATTTATTTAAATAAACAGACACCCAACCTCACTTCCACCTCACTTTACCTTACCTTACCTACCCCACTTTATTTAAATAAATTAAAAAATCAAGGGCAAAATAGTCTTTTTAGATAAGACATGGACCAAACGCGAAACAAAACAAACTGTAGGGATCTTCCAAGTTAAAAAAATAAGATAGGGACCAAACGTGCAATTTACCCCAAACCATAGAGATTGTTCGTGTAATTTACTCTAGAAAAAAAATATACTAACCTCGAATAATGAATTCAAAGTGGAAATTAAATGAAATAAGAAACAGTAAGGGGAATTATTCAAAACGCGGCATCATAATTCTTTAATTGGCAAAGTGTATTCAATTTCAAGTTTTGTTATTGGTAAAGTGTATTCAATTTCAAGTTTTGCTAAGCGTGGACCATATAAAGCCCTACTTCTTTTATTTAACAAAATATATATTTGTATATATAAGAACTCAAATTTGTGTGGGGTTGCCAAGACCCACCGCCATTGCATCCATATGGCTACTCCATTGCGCACAAGAACGTCTTACGAGTTTTTGCAGATCCAATCATGTTTTTGTATGGTCCATGCTATTTGCATCATCCTACTTCCAGTGTCATACAAAAGTTATATGCTCATCATGCGAATGTGCATGACTTTCCTGAGATGTTAGGAAGTTTAGATTGTATGCATTGGAGATGAAATATGTGTCCAAATGCATATCATGAGCAATACACAAAGGGCAATTATCATGATCTGACGGTCTTACTTGATGTTGTAGCCTTACAAGATTTGTGGTTTTGGCATGCTTACTTCAGTAGTCCTGATTCGATTAATGACGTTAATATTCTTAATAATTCACAAATATTCAGCAAAACATATAATAGTACCGCCCCAGATTAGTCATTTGTACTCCAAGGAACGGAGTACAAATTCAGGTACCATCTTGTCAATGGGATCTATACCAACCTTTTGGTTTTTGTTAAAACTTTGTCGTGTCCCGGATGACCCTCAAAGACCAAGATTTAATAGAGTCCAAGAAAAACTGAGGATAGATGTCGAACAAGCGTTTGGAGCACTTAAAAAGCATTGGTAAATACTTGCTAAAAGCATCAATATTTCGTGAAGTAAAAACCATGACAAAGGTGATATATACGTGTACATATTACATAATATGATAAAAGAACATGAAGGAAACACGATATTTGCCTACAACGAGAATCAAGTCATCCCCGATACACAACCATTAGAATATGGTGGTCAATAATGGATACAAAGAATAAGTATAGTAAACAATGTAGTAATCCATTCCGACATTCGCCACCATTTAACCGATCATCTTTAGACGCTTGACAACCTTGATCTTAATATGCCACCCGAAGATGAATTAGAATGCCAATTTTCAGACGAAGACCTATTGCTTTAGTTATGATGTGTTGTTTTTTTTATGTATTGAATCATGTTTCTAGGTATCAAGTCGTGTTTCAATTTATTAAGTTGTATTTTAAGTTTAAATTTATTGTAACTTTTTTAAAACACAGAGCCTAGATTACTACAAATTATGAGATTTATAGGACACACCTTGTCTAAATTTATTATAAAATATAAGTTACTATTTGGCGTAATTTACCCTATTCGTAAGAAAGCTAGAAGCCATTTAAGAGCAATGAAGAAATCCATAGATTACAAAAAGTAAAAATTGTCCATAGAAAGAAGCCCTAAAATCAAGCAAGGATTCATTATTTGGGATTTGCTTACAATAAATACATAGCCCTCCATGGAGTCATGGTTTGTGACCATTCTGAATATATAGCCCTCTATTATATTATAGAATCCCTAAAATCAAGCCGAGGATACATTAGTTAGTTACTAGTGCATTTTAGTGTTTATGGTTTAGGGTTTAGGTTCCATTTCCATTTCCATTGTGGTTGACTAGGTCAGCAACAGCAAGATCAGTCTTAAAGAAAGCCGAATGGAGAGCCCTCACACATTTTTCCGACTCACTGTCATTAACTATCAACGATATATTCACCTTGGATGCTCCTTGAGATATCATTTGAACATTCACTCCATTTGTACGAAGAACATGAAATACCTACATTATAAAAAACAAATACAACATAAAAATTACACATCAAAAGAAAATCTAATTACACCATAGAAGCAAGACATAACAAAACAGATCAGATTGTAGTGCGTTTAGCATACATTTGACTAGGACCAAGACCAATAATGTCCATAGGACAAATTTGTAAATTTTTGTCCCCACCCAAAAAGGTGGAATAGGGATTCAACTCAAGATTTATAAAAAGTCAAAATAGAAGAGGAAAACAGGTCAGTACCTTCTCCAATATAAGTGATGACCTCTGAACATTCCCAATCAGTGAAATAATTGATCGGTGTTGAAGGAGATTCACTTTAGCAATTTTTTTCAAGTTCTTCAACAACATTATCAAGTTCCTGATTAAAAAAGTACAAAGATTGATTCACTTATTACAAAAAGATTTTTCATTGTCAAATAATGGAGAATGATATGAAATGCTTGCCTGCTGAATCAACTCCCTGCTCCAAAGCTTTGAAGGATCCAATGTTAAAGAAATACTAACTTCACTAGTGGCTACAACATCAACCGAAATACCCAAATCTTCAAAAGTTGAAAATACCTAAATCATGTGTCAATTATAACTTAAAAGTTACAGTCTGCTAAAAGAATAAAGAAATTAAATCATATTCCCCTTTTTTTTTTCTTTCTTTTTTACCTTAGCCAGGAATCCAAATTGACCAAGCATACGAGTGCTAACAATATCCAACATGGTCACATTACGTTTCAAAACAATGCTAGTCAGTATCGCCTGAAATTGAAAGTTGTTAGATGTTTTACAATTTGTGAAATTAAAAAAATAAAATAAAAAATTACAGTAGTAATAAATTAGCTACTGACCTTTGACATATCTCTTGACTTAGTGATGAGGGTACCTGGAGCATTAGGGTTGTAAGAATTTTTAACCCTGACTGGAATATCACCTTCTCTTGCAGGCCTCATAGACTGTGGATGAAGAACCTATATATATGAAAACAAAACAGAGAATAATAAGTAAGATCCACATGGAGATTGGATAGAGTAAAAAATTAATAATTAATAATTAATTTTATGCTACCTGAGCACCAAAATATGCAAGTTCAGCAGCCTCATCAAAAGTTAAATAAGGCACAGGTTCTGCACCTGGATATATGTTGGGATCACATGTCAAAACACCATCTACATCTTTCCACACCTAGTTATATATATAAGGATTAGGAACAAACATATAAATTTTTTTTTTAAAAAAATTAATTAATTTCCATGGGAAAATACAACAAATTTTTTACTGACCTGAATTTCTCGCAAGCCTAATCCTTTACCGATGGTTGTGGCAGTCAAATCACTACCACCTCTGCCTAATGTAGTGATTGCACAAGTTCTGCAACCCTGCAATTAAATTTTGTTATTTTGTAGAATCATGTTTATAGTAGGTGTTGTTCATGAAATTTGAGATTATGTAAAAAAGTAAAAAAGACCTTTCCAAGGAAGCCAGTAACAATAGGGATTGCAGGATCATTATTCCAATCACTGTGTAGTTTATTTGCTACAGCTGGATAGGTTGCTTCTAGAATATCCGCATTAGTAAAGTCATCAGTTGTTATGAACCCAATATCAAATGCATCATACTGCAATAAGGAACAAAAACAAAAAGGCAAGTGTCAGAAGAGAATAATGCAGGAAAGAAGTCATAAAATATGTTTTTGCATTCGGTTGAAAGCCTCTTCTAACAAAATATTAAGAATCAAACCCTCTTACGAGCATCTTATTAGTGGAGGGGTAATTTAGGTATTTTACTTGTGAAATGTGGTAGTTATACCTTGGGAGAGGCTAGGCTCTAGCAACCATCTTAAACTTTTGTTCATTTTGGTATATGTTTTGAGTGATTTCAATCAATATAGGAAAGCTTTTGTTTATCTGTTATTGTTTTTGATTTTATCCTATAAGTCAGTCGGTTCATATCACTTACTTTGATTCTTTAAAGGAACAAGTTAAATAAATCATATGATCAAATTAAATAATGCCATGTAGATGATGATGTTAATGTTGAAGCCAATTGGGCTCCTAGTTGGTTTAATACCTGTGAAACTGCTATAGCATGTCATAATGGTATATTCTAAACAAACACTAGAGTTGGTTACTCTTTTGGACAATAAATAAGAAAAGTGACTAAATGGCACATAAGAAATAGTTGGTTGCTAACTGATGACATAAACCCGATCCTAAAAGGGTAGAGACAACAAAAATGGAATTTGGCTACACTTAAGGCAAAGCATATACACAGACCTTTGTACTTGTTCCAACAAGAAGGCAATGGGGGCAAAAATGGGTTTTCAGATATAAATACAATATGGAGGAGAGTTTGGAAGGTATAAACCACGACTGGTAGACTAGTAATTTACTCATATCAATGCAAGTAATTAAGAAACCACATACTTGGCGAGCTTTGACACCGATTTTATTCAAGTATGCTGCAAATATTCTTGTGGACATGCATTCCCCAAATGACACTAAGTAGTCTCTTGCACGTGGAGTCATATCTTTAAGTACAGCAATCCCATTCAGAAGTCTCTCTAATTTTTCTAGGTGGTCTGCAAAAATATATGAAATTAGAAAACAAGATCTGAAAAATCTTTCAGCAGCATATAGAACAGTCTTATTCTTCCAATAATTAGAAGCAGACCTGTTATGAGTGATTTGTCTAATCCAAGCTCGTCCACTGTCCTGAGTACACACATCAACACTCAATCAGCAGAAACTAATGTCTATAATCTTTTTATGATGGTAATACTCACCTGTAGTGCAGTTCTTTCACAAAGGTCAGCTCATCTATTTCAGAAACATCAGAAATACAGCTTGCAGCCTTTTCTCCAGCCTATATATATTACAACACAGATTTAACATTAAACCTTCTTGAAGAAACAGCTAAAATATCAATTCTTATAAAAATTAATTGTTGCACAAACCACTATAAGCTTGTTGGTAGTCTTCCCCATAGCAGAGAGGACAATCACAGGATTCTCTTCTGGAAAACTGAGGATGAGTTCAGCTATCTCTTTCATCCTATCTGCTGAGGCTACTGAAGATCCACCAAACTTCATCACACATGATAGCTGGTTAATTGATTCTTCCAAACCTTGACTTTTGGGTTCACTTTGTACCAAAACATCATTCTTTCTCGCATCACAAACAACCCTTAGTCCTCCTCTTCCCTTGCTTGGATATGAAACTCTTAATGTCCCACACGATTCAGTGAGCAGATCAAAATTGAGTCTCTTCTGTGAGCAAAAAGATTGGGAATGTAGAGCCTTCTTTGAAAAACAATAAGGAGCCTTGATTCCACACAAGTGTGTAGCTGCTGCCATTGAAACAGATTGATTGTTTGCTGCTAGAAACCCACTAAATTAATTAACCCTGAGGTGTTGTAATAAGCTGAGAGAGCTAACTAGGTGGCTTAGCTCTCCCTGCTAGAACTGAAATCGTTGAGGATCTGATGCCTTCTTTTATGAAACTCTAACAGAAGTCTATGAAGAACCTGCAAGTACCATGATATATGTGTTGAATTACCAAATTGGACAACCAGTCGTAAATCGTTTATCAATATGAACAATGATGAATAATAGAAACACGTGTAAAGCATGCACCGTATATTCTAGCGCGTGAATGAAATACTGCAATGATTAACGATTACTGTAGCATAAGAATTCTAATTGAATTGAGATGTTCGTTCAGATCGGCATTCTTAACAGAGCTCCATCAAAATGTTATATTTCAACTAATTTCAGCATCTTTAACATGAGATTAAAGCGAGGAAATTAAATGAAATGAAAGAATCACAGATCATGAGATTGAATGTCATACCAAGTAGAAACAGATAGAGAAGAGGGTTTGAAGGGTTTAGGTTAGGGCTTAATGAGATGCGTATGAGTGGGTGCGGCGAGCTTAGGAATAGAGAATCAAGCAATGACTAGGCCTCCAAAAGGAGAACCGGTGGTGGTATTCAGAAAAATGCCATGGCGAAGTCCCTTGGCTGCTTCCAAGTCTTACACCTCTTCTCAATGTCATTTTCCTTTTATTTGTATATAACATGAGCCAAAAAGGAAAATAGATAGAAATTAAGAAGAGAGTAAAAGAATGGAAGGAACAAATTTCTTTCTAACTTTGTTTTTAATTTAAAAGGATTTTAGAGAGAAATAAATAAAAGGTTTAATTTTTTTTTCTAATTCGGAAATACAAAATATAAATTTATTTTATTTTCGTTTCTCTTATTTTCTTTCCTTGTGTTTTTTTAACGGCAGGGTTAGTGGTTAGAAGTTAATATCACGAAATCGTCAACGTCTGGATTAGAACTCGAACCTCCAATTTAAGAAGCATTTTCTTTTTTTTGCTAAAACTCGAAAATTAGACGGTAAAGACATCGGAAGTTGTTGGAAAAATACCCTAAAGGTAAGAATAATATTAAGTGGTAAAATTATTTGGAAGTTGAAAATGAGAATCGGGAGTATTTATTTATGTATAAATATTTCAGTAAAATTAACGGAAAGCTTTTGAAATATGTAAATTATATAAAATCTTAAGAGCTTTCAAAAGTTTATTCTTCAACATACCATATACAGTAATGAAGCTTTTAATATCTCTCCCGATTAATACACATGACCGGCCAAGCCGGTGGCTACGGTCATCGATCCATTTTTTAAGGAGCCCAAATTTTTATGGGTCATATAAGATATAATCATATTTTCAAGAAAAATAAGATAAAAATAGTTAAATTAAGTATAAGATTATAACTTGAAGGAGGAAAGAAGCACGCTTAATTATGAATTTACGATTGATCACTCACTTTTTTGTATTTGGATACAACTTTTTACTACTAGTGTGAAAATTGTTTTTACTACTTGCTACTTTTTACTTCTTTTTAACTGTGATTTCTCAAAATTCTATTTTTATTTCTATTTAGTCGTCCAACAGTGAATACTTTTATTTGAGTTTATGAATTTGATATTTATTTCTCGTTTGTATCTGAATACCATAATTTTATTTGGGTTTTTTCTTATTCATTTTAAATTGATCTTTGAAAGTGCGGTAATTGAAGGATAAAACACAACAAAACTACATATTAACTCCAGACAATTCCAACTTTTTGCGTTAAGGTGTTTTTTTACTAGTTCTTTATGTTATCATAAATATTTATAATATATTACAATGTTCCTAAAACTATATTTAAATTAATGGAATTTTGTAAAGAATTTGGCTATTTTTATGTCTTTGAGATGTTTTTTTTTTCTTTAATCGTGCACTGAAAATATATTTGGATTGATCCTTAATACAAATATACAATCTAGTCAAATATGTGTGATGGTGATCGGATCATCCATCACATTATCTTAACATATGATGTATTTTTATAATCACTTTCAAACAAACTTAAAAAATGTCGGTATAACATGTTGCAAAATATAGTGTAAATTTTATGAAAATCATGTTTTGTTGATAAAAACAGATGACTGAATTGACCGATTCATATGAAGAAAAAAATATAAATAAAAAAATGGATATAATCTTCAATCTGTGTGGAGTTGAGCTTGCGAACTACCCATAAAAGATGTCAACCGGTCAAATCAAATGTAATCAATTCATTATCTCGAGCTCTATATTCCATGTTTTATTCCACGTTTTCCGAAATTTTCATGTATATTTGTTTTATCTTATTTTGTTTCTAATATGAATCACGTGAATTTTATAATGTTCCTAAATTTGACCAACCAAAATTAAATCTAACCTTGGAAGACCCTCCCTCATAAGATTGAAACCTTTATCACTTTATGGAATAATATTATTTTTACTCTAGAATTATATATTACTATTTAATTTAGCATCCTGCTGTTTTATTTTATTTTATTTTTAAAATGACAAACGTATGCAAAATTTATTCTATTTCTAAATTATACATTTTGTCTACAACCAGATGTTAACCCACAACCTGTTGCTGGGGACATCTTTCACCAATACCTCATACAGCTAAGCCATAGTCTTTTGATTCGTGTTGATATTTTATTTAATAATATACATTCCATCTCAAGAAGGGTAAATACTGCTCTTGAATAGCCTCATCGACTCACCTCATAGTCAATGTAAAATAATTAAATGATCATGTTCTCAAAACAAACAAGTGTGATGCTTAGACCTTAATCTAAAACAAGAAATGTGATGTTTAGGCTTAAATGATTAAATCTAACAATTTATTTATGGAATCATACTGACTCAATAGCAAAGACTACACTACATGATTGCAACGGTATTTTAGCAACCATAATTTTTTTATTTTATGCTCCACCCTTGTGATACTCTTGTCTCATTCTGTCAAAAAGGTAATAAAAGAAAACCAAAATATGAACAACAATGTCAAATACGAGTACTGAAAAAAAAAAAAAAAAAAAGGTTCACAAAATTATCAAAACTAAAATATGAGCACAACCATTTTTGTGGGTCAAGAACTACAATAGCCAAAGAAATGTTGCTCGCATGTATATAAAGAATAAAGGGACCAGAGGATCTCCAAAATTTTAGTTGTTACCCCCATTAAAATGGTCTTACAAGTTGAAAGAAATAAACAAAATTCAACATATAATATACTTTAAGCCACATGTTTCTTTCTCTTTTTTGACTTCTTCTCTTGAGAATGATCCGATTCCTGCAAAGACATGCTGGAATTCAAATCCTTTGAACTTGAGCGATGCTTCTTTTCTTCAGAAAGAGAGCTTCTATGCCCACTGCTATGAGTTCCTCTTGTTCTTGTACTCTTTGCAGGAGTTGAAAACTGATGACCAGAATTAGTCAATGAAGTTGCATTTGACCTTTCGTACATCTGTTTAAGCTTCTTTGTATCATCTTTTGGCACCTCATCAGCCTCCAGATAACGAACAAACGAAACTCGCCTTGTAATCTTACCAACTGTCAACATAATAATTTAATAAACAAATCATATCAATGCTTTTGCTTATGTGTTCCATAAAAATAAACATAAGCAGAATGTATATATAAATAAATCACACAAACATCACCACTTTTAAGTAGGAAAAATATGGTGAAAAGTTACATTGTGTATAGCAGTTTTAAGTTGGACAGGTTTTTAAAGAAATTATATGCTTAATTGAAGCCACAGGCACTACTTCATTTATAGACAGTAGAGGCTAGCAAAAGATTATGAACATATTTGTATGCTTCAACATGAGGAAACAATGTCATTATGTGAAATTTAGAGTAAACTGAAGTTTCCAAACAATACCAATTTTTGAATCTGTTGCACAAGATAGAAAGACCATGGCTTTTGGTTCCTGTGCTGCAAGGCTGACAACATCATACGACTTTCCTGACAAGATGAAAATATGGACATAAGAAGTGATGTAATTTGGGGATTTTAACAACTTAATTCAAAATATGTGGTCATGAATCCAAATTTAACACTTCCATGACTGCAATACTGAAGTAGATAAAGATTGATACTTGAGTGTGAACAAACATTCTTGCATATCAAATAAACTTGATGTACATTGCACAATCTGCAGGATATTAGAAAGAAAGCTTAAACTTATGCTCACCAGATGAAGCTTCAAAACTGCCCAACTGCCCATCATCATTATTCAGGTTCAAGGAGAGTTGTTGCCCATCAAAATCAGGAATCTGCAGTGCCAACCAACAAACCATTTGCTCAAATGGCAATTACAAAAACTTCATTGACTAGATATGACTTAATGAAAAACCACAAGGAGGACTGCATCTTACCTGATCTTTAGGCCATTGTATGAGCCATAGTTCAGTAGAATCTGATGCATTTGGTTCAACTATAGGAGCTCTAGCATCATCCTGAAATTCTGGTGGAGGCTTGAATCCAGATTGGCTAGCATCACCCATTGCAATTTGCTCCTGCATGTATAAATGACCAACAGTTTGGTGATGAAACAATAGCAGGTATACAAGAAATAATACACTAGGAGGAAATCAGTAGCATCTATTGTTCATTCCTAAGTTACCAACATCAAAATTCAAAAGTTAAAAATGAAAACATGTATATTATAATTGATATGTGAAACATGCATATTAATAAAGTACTATCCCTCTCAGGCATTTCATCAAACAGCTTGCCTGCAAACACATTCCCTTTTTTACAGAACACTGTACACATCAGACTTCATATATTTGAACATCGAACACAACTAGCAAATCAGTAGCAGCAAACAAGTAGCAAATCAGTAGCAGCAAACAGATAGCAAATCAATTATCACCGAAAGTAAGAAATCAGCTAACAGAATTCCAGAGAAGATCTTGAACTTTCCGATTGATATTAAAAAAACAACAGAAATTTCGTATGTGAAGAAGGAAATCACGGAAAAGAAAACCTTTTGCATAAAAAGAAATCGACCAACAACATCAAGTGGCAGGTTCAAAGAAAGCTGGAGAAAAAAAGAAGAAAGAAAGAAAGCAGAAAATAAGGAAGAAAAATGGAACCTGGGGTTGGGTGCGACGGAGTTGTGGCTATCGAAGGTCTCCGACGTGTGGCTTCACAGGGGAGGCGACGGCGAGCAAGGAGAGTTGACGTGAGGAGCAGATAGCGAGAGGCCGTAAGCATAATGCGTTAGGTTTTATTAGGCAAGGGGTATATTGGTCGATTTTAAAAAGAAAAAATAAGAATTTTTTATAAATTAAGGACTTACGGTAACCAATTTATTAAAAATGATTTTTTTTTCTTTTTTTAAACGCAAATAATATATAATACAAAACCCAAAAACGGGACAAAACACTTAGCAATGAGCTAAAGGTGCGATGGAAATCCAAAATACAAAGAAGAAAATCTTCTAAACTTAATAGAAGAATCATTATGTCCGAGTGGCACTTCCACAATACATTTTTCCTTCAATCTGAATTTACTTCATTACCCTTAATTCATTTTAAATTCTATAATCATAAACCATTTAATTTGATTCCATTTAACTTTGTAACTGATAACATACTTATTTCGAATTTTGAATTTCTGGTGATAAAAGGGTTTAATATGGTAACCTTTAAATATATTGTTAAAGATTTATAAAATTTTATAAATCTTAGATTTTTAATTATGAGTATTATTTTTCTTTTTTATCCGTGGTTTTTACGGTTTGTATCCTAGTAAAGTATAACATAAGAAAACATAACCGCAAAAGATTACATAGTTAGATGAGTAAACGAGGTGCAACTCCAATCCGTCTAACTTTCGTAGCCATGTTTACTTATGTGCTTGCACCACTCATATGATTGTAGAATGATGAAGTCCGTTGTTTTTGTTAGGGATGTGTATTTTTATTGAAAATTTTGTCATTCCTTGCCATTCATATGTTCCAAAGAATTGAGTAAAAAATCACAGTGACAACTTGCTTTTTTCTTGTACAGTTCCCCCATGATTCAACAAAATCAACAAATTCCCGCACGGTTGTGAAATGTGCGCACTGCATTCCGCACCATTTGAAAATCTAAGATTGCACCTCTTTTGCAAAATCACAGCCAAGTAATAAATGGTTTACTGTTTCCTGACTTTGATTACATAGTTGACAATTAACATCTTGGACATTTATGCCCCTGCATTTAAGATCCACGACAGCTGGGATTCTACCTGCTCTCCATACAAAACACCTAACCATTGGAGGGATAAGATTCGACCAACTTATAGACTGACCAGTGTATTGAATAAGGTGTGTCTCTATCAACCTCCTCGTTATGCCAACTGAATAATTTCCATTAGGACTATGATTGAAACGAAATCCAATGTTTTTGTCAGAACTAAAATTCGTTGAGCAGAGCAGAGAATAAAATTCATGAAGTTATGTGCGTGCTGCATCATCAAATCTCTCCGTTTTCCATTTCCAAATAAATCATGTACTCGATATTTTGTCCATGAGTCTGCATGTTCTAACCGATTCTAATTGGTAGAGATGTGGAAATCGAGTTTGTAGAGTATCATCTCCACACCAAAAATCCTTCTAAAAGAGAATTTTAATATTAAACTCATGGATAAGGCTAACGTAATTTTTCACCTTAATGTTGTATTCATTTAGATATTTAACCGCCTTTGAAATATTATGACAAACACCATTTGAGTTTTTTTCGGGCCAAGTATGTAACCATTTGGTTGTCTAAGTTGGGTATGTTGTTGATAACCCTCAACCAAATACATTCATTTTTAGCCTCCACATCCTTTTTATTAGGAGGGATATATTTTGCGCTTTAAGTGTGCCTACTCCAAGACCCTCATTTGTTTTTACAACCACCACTTTCGTCCGGTCCATCCAGTGTATTCTTGCCTTGTTATCTCCTCCACCCCACAAATATTTGCGCCTCAATTTCTCCAATACATCTATGTCTTAAATAGAGAGAAGTAATAGGTAGGTAAACTACTTAAAACGGATTTAATAAATGTCAATCTGTAACACCCGTACTTTCAACTAGTGATTAACAGGTATGTTTTACAATGTTAGTTATCAAATATTTAATTTTAGATATATCGTAAAATAATATTTATTATATACTCGAAAGTCTGTCATATGTAGTTATATAGTAAATCAAAATTTTATTTACAATATCTTTTTAAGATTTTTTTCTCTCTAATTTACATACATATAATTCAAAAAAATATATATGAAATATGTATTGTTAATATAAAAGAAAATTAATTGATAATAATAATTAAACATGTATACATATATTAGTTTTATAATAAATGATCAAATAAAGATATTTCGTTAAATAATAATAATAATAATAATAATAATAAACTATCCAAGTTGGTTGGTATTGAGACACTTATCAGATTTAATGTGGCAACTCTATAAACGGCAAGTCTATTTAATCCGTGTCAATAAACTAACTGTTAGTGTACAATTTCAAAATTATTAGTGTGGTACGTGTTAAAATTTGGAATGATTAAGATGTATAATTGTTGAGTATAAATAGGAACGTTCTTCGTGAATTTTAAAATACATCAGCAACAAAATATTTAGAGAGAACCAAAGGAAAAAAAAGAATTTAGAAGATAATACCTATGTTGTTTGAGGTGAGTTTCGTGATGCCTTTTCAAAACTCATATATATATATATATATATATATATATATATATATATATATATATATATATATATATATATATATATATATATATATATATATATATATATATATATATATATATTGTGCTTGCCTGCCTAGTTGTTTATTGCCTGTCATATTTATTGCTTTGTTGTATTATATCATGCTTATTATTTTTACATATATAAGTAATGAGTTGTTGGGTAATGTACAAATAAACGTATCATCATTTGATAATAGATAAGTTTGGGTACGATTAGTATACGGGTAACATCCCGCTACTAAGTCGATACCGGCAGTACATATCTAGCCCCGCTCGAATTTTATGCAGAAGTCATGATCAGGTAGCTCGCATGCTTGTCTGATGTCTGAAGTGGCTTAAATAAATTTACCCATAACTCAGATCACAATTTAATTTCTATATTTCATGATTGCATGTGGGTTTTTTTTTTTTTTTTTTTTTGTACACAAACACACAAATTCACTAAGCCATTTCGCTTATAAATTAAAATATACATCTCATGACACATCCGGTAAGAAAAGCTTGGAAAAAATTTAGTATCGTAGTTATGGGACTAGATGACACTTGAAGACTTAGCTTAAAATATATAGTCATTAATAAGTTTATGGTAGAAACACTAGTTTGTATTTTATTTTGTGTTTCCGTTGTAACCGTGAATTCTGGTATTTATAAATAAAATTCATGGTTTGTTTATATGAGGTCTCGGGTGTCACACAATCTGTCCCCAAATTAGAGTGTATTTGATTTCCAATTTCAGAGCCTAGCTTGATACTTTTCTATAATCGGCTTCTAGTGCTTCTTCAGTGACATATTGGCTCCAACCGGGACACCAAGGAATGTGAATGGAAACTAGCCTTTTAGGCAACCAAGGGTTTAAGCATATGATTTAAATCAGTATCAGGAATACCTATATCAAACAACATTGCTTTGTGAAAGTTGACCTTGAGACCAGAGTACACCTGGAAGCATTTGAGAATTCTTGATAGATTTTGAATGCTTCTATGATCCTGATTTCCAGCAAAGATGGCATCATCCGCGTAGAATAGATGAGAAATATTTGGCCCTGAGTGTGGAAGCTTTATGCCAGTGAAGAGGGATTTGTCTATATCACTTGTAAGGGCAATATTAAGCCCTTCCAAGCCAATATGAAGAGAAAAGATGCGAGTGGATCTCCCTATCTTACTCCATTGAAATGGGAAATTCGTCGGTTGGGGCACCATTTACTAGGATCGAAGCATGAGTTGAGGAGAGACAGCCATGAATCCACCTTCTTTATTTTTTTACCGAACTGCATTTGTGCCATTATTGTGTCTAGGTACCCCCAATTTATCGAATCAAAAGCCTTCTCAAAATCAACTTTAAACAAAAACATTGATGTCTTGGATTTCTTAGCGTAGCAGTAAAATTCGTTTATGATGAGAGGGTCATCTAAAATATTTTTGCCCTTAATATACGCTGATTGAACATCATTTACAACCAACCTAATGATTGATTTCATCCGATTTGCAAGAAATTTCGAAATTATCTTGTATAAACAACAAATGAGACTAATGGGTCTATAATCCCCCAACGTGAGCAGATCGTTGGTTGAGGGATGAGGGTAATAATAGAAGAGCTGCAACCATGGGATAATTTACCAGTCTCTTCGAAATAATGGAAAATTTTGATAATATTAGTTTTTATGAACTCCCATTTATTTTTGATGAGCTTGAATGTGAATCTATCTTGACTAGGTGCATTTTTTATTTCCTCAATCGAGATTGGAGATTATATAAGTTTTTGTTGTTGCAAAGACAATTTTCTGAATAGAGGGCTCAACAACTTCAGTCTATTGGGCCATGGTTCATGAAATTTTTCTGCAAAAAACCTATGTACTTCCAATTTTATTTGAATAAGGTCGAAGGACCACACCTCATTGATGTTTAATCCATGAATTCTATTTTGCCTGCATTTGTTTTTCAAAGTGCCATGAAAGAACTTGTTATTTTCATCACCATCCTTTAACCATTTGACTTTTGCCTTTTGCTGAAGGTCGAGTTTTGTTTGATGCTCCAAATCACAAATCTTGATTTTACCTTCACGCCAATCAATTATCTCCTAATATGTGAGTGATCTGGATTCTGAAACATGTTCATATTCATCCACCTTAGCCCTGAGTGTAGTAATGTTTCTAGTATCTTTACATACATCCTCCATCCTCCACTTTTTAAAAACATATTACAATTGTCTTAGTTTTTCCATGACCTACATATATGGTGTTCCAAAACCTCTAAAATTGCCCACAGTGTTATAAAAATGATGTCAGCTTAACTAAAATAATATCCAAAAACTATTTCTTATAGTAATAGAATATTTTTCAGATGATTTTGTAAATTAATTAACAATAATAGTTAAATTAATCTAACATAACAATTATTAAAAAATAACATTAAATCAAGAATAATATTCAATGTTATTTCTACGCAACAAACGAATAAAAGTCATTGAATAATATTGTTTAAAACTAATTGAATAATATTGTTTAAAACAATTGAGATTACATATATAAACTTAGTGTAAACGTTAATATATCAATATTAATGTCAATAACTTAACCATTTTAAACAACATATATTTTTTAATATTTTAACAATATTTTTTAACATGCGCAATGTAACGTCCGTGTTTCTAGGCTAGACATTAATGATGATGTATTAGTTTAAGTCAACATTTGTAATTTATTATGAAGTAACAAAGATATATTATTTGAGTATTATGTGTTTTATGCTTAATTATTATGATTTAATAAGTTAAGGATAAAAATAAGCATAGAAATTAAATGTTAGATAAACCCGATATCTATGAAGAACGTAAGTGGTCGAAACAAGGATTCCGGAGATATAAAGAATACCGAAATCCGAGTTATAACGAAGAAGTTATGACCTGTCGAAGTTTCGCGACAGAACCGACACGACGCTGTGTGACGTAAAAAGTGAATTTACGATAAAATGCTTTTTAGCCTTAGCGATCTAAATGAAAGTTGTAGTACACGGTAAACCGAGAGCGTGCATAAAAAGAAATGTCCAAATCTGACTTCGTATGAGGAAGTTATGAATTTTCTAAGATTTGACTTAGCAATATGTACCCCGGAATTCGAATTATACATCGAGCGATTTTTAGCCGACACAATCTAAACGAGAATCGAAGATATTGTTGATAGTAGTTCAACGGTAAAAAGACAGACGAAAACGGACGTCGGATGAAGAAGTTATGAATTTTTAACGGACTTTTCCTGTCCCGGCCTGTTAAAAATATAACTTTAAAAATAAAGTCAAAATTAGCCGACGGAGTCTAAACGAAAGTTGTAGAGCATAATTTCACCTATGCGTGGATATAAAGAACGTCAAAAACGGAGTTCGTATGCGAAAGTTACGAATTTTTGAAGTTCTGGGCACAAACTTCAAGGCTGGTCCAAAGGAGTACGCCCAGCGTACATAAAGATTACGCCCAACGTACTTCGCACGTATTCGATCCGGAGTCAGCCACGTCGCCCTACTC